ATATACACGCTATCTTGAGAATCTATTTTTGAAACCCTTCAGAAAAAATATTATTGTTGTTTTAAAAATACTCTAAATCCTTCAGAAGAATATTCTTCAACGGTGAGAAATAATTTATGAACCCTTCAGAAACAGTTTCTAAGCCCTTTAGAAAATGTTTCTGAGCCCTTCAAAAATCAATTCTAAACCTTTTAGAATATTCTCAAGAAAAATATTATGAACCCTTCAGAAATGAATTATAAACTCTTCAAAAAATAATTATGAACCTTTCAGAAAATGTGTCTGAGCCCTTCAAAAAATTTCTGAATCCTTCAGAAATCAATTCTGAAACCTTCAAAAAATGTTTGTGAACCTTTTAGAAAGTATTTATGATCCCTTCAGAAAATGACTCATGTTTTCACATACAAACATCTTGAGAATTTATATTTGCAACCTTTCAAAAAAAAATATTGTATTTGTTTCAAAAATATTTTGAACCCTTAAGAAAAGTATTCTTAAACCGTCAAAAATCAATTCTGAAACTTTCCGCAAATGTTTATGAGCCCTTTAAAAAATAATTTCGAACCCTTTTGAAATTTTTATGAGTATGTAAATATTGTTATGAGAAAATAAAGAGAGAGATAGAGTGGCTGGAATCATCGAGACTTCGGAAAAATATTCTGAACTCTTTAGAAATCAACTATGAATCCTTCAGAAAATATTTATGTGTCTTTCAGAAAAAAATTTTAACCCTTCAGAAGTTAATTGTAATTCTTTAGAAAATGTTTCTACGCCCTTCAGAAAATATTTATGACCCTTTGCAAAAATGATTCTGAACCCTTAAAAAATAACTCATTTTTTCACATACACAAGTATCTTGAGAATTCATTTTTTAACCTTTAGAAAAAATAATTGTAGTTGTTTCAAAATATTCAGAACTGTTCAGAAATATATTCTTAAACCGTCAGAAATCAATTATGATCCCTTCAGAAAATGTTTTTGAGCTCCATATTAAATATTTTAGAAAAAAAATTTTGAACCATTCAGAAATTAATTTTAAGCTCTTTAGAAAAAAAATATGAATTTCAGAAATCATTTCTAAACCCTTAAGAAAAAGTTTATGAGCCATTAAACAAATGTTTTTGTGCCATTCAGAAAATGTTTATGAACCCTCAAAAAAATATTTCTGAGTCCTTTAGAAAATGTTTTAAAATATTTTTAACCTTTCAAGAAATAATCTTAAACCGTCATAAAACAATACTAAACCCTTCAAAAAGAATTTCAAAGTCCTTTAGAAAATGATTATAACCCTTCAGTAAATATTTTTGAGCTCTTTAAAAAATGTTTCTGAGTCCTTCAATCGAACCCTTCAGAAAATGACTGACCAAAGTTATAAATAAAATTGTTTTAAATGTGATGTTTTGGAGTCCTTTAGAAAATGTTTCTAAGTCCCACAAAAATGTTCCTGAACCTTTTAGAAAATGTTTCTGAACCCTTCAGAAAATGTTTCTAAACCCTTCAGAAATCAATTCTGAACCCTCTATAAAATATTTCTGAACCCTTCAGAAAATATTTCCGAGCCTTTCAGAAAATATTCTGAACTCTTCAGAATATTCTCAAGAAAAGTATTATGAATCCTTCAGAAATATATTTTGAACTCTTCAGAAATCAATTCTAAACCTTCATAAAACAATTGTGGACCCTTCAAAAAATGTTTATGAGCTACTCAGAAAAAATTGAACCCTTCAGAAATCAATTATATGAACTCTTCATAAAATGATTTTGAGCATTTCAAAAAATATTTCCAAACCCTTTAGAAAATAACTGCTCTTTTCACATACACAAGAATATTGAGAATTTATTTTTGAAACCTTTCAGAAAAAATATTGTAGTTTTTTTCAAAAATATTATGAATACTTGAGGAAAATATTCTTAAACGGTCAGAAATCAATTATGAACCCCTCAGAAAATGTTTCTGAACTTTTCAGAAATCAATTATGAACATTTCAAATATTCTAAAGAAAGATATTATGAACTCTTTATAAATCAATTTTGAACTTTTAAATAAATGTTTCTAAGCATTTCAAAAAATGTTTATGAACCTTTCAGAAAATATTTATGAACCTTTCAAAAAATAACTCCTCTTTTCACATACACAAGCATGGCAAATGGGACAAGTTAGGCTTGGACAAAGGGTTGTCATGTGAGGTGAATGTTTGGCTTTGGCTTGTAAGTATGAAAACAGATGTGAACTCCAAAGAGAACTATATGAGCTATCATACAAGCTTTTCGGAAAGGTTTGATCCCTGGTTATATGTAATATTAAACCTGAACTAATCTGGTTTTATTAAAAGGAATTTAGAGAAATGATCCGTGTTGTCATTGTTAAGTTAGATGGTAGGATAGTAACATTATTCACATTTATTTTATTTTTTTTTGTAACTGACATTATTTACATTTATTATCATGAAATTTCCATAGATTATTACTATTATTGTTATATTAATCTTTTAATGTAATGTCGTTTTATGATTCAATTTTAATATTTAATACTAATTGTGCCAATAAAAATGACAAATGTAAAGATGATCTTTAAAACGTTTCTATCTTAAAGATAACAAGTGTAGGATTTCTACAGTTTCTCTCAACTCTTTCTTTCTTTCTCATACGTTTCTTTTTTTGCATGCGAGATTTTCGTGAGAAATTAATCCATGATGTTACTCTTATAAACAGATCCCGAGAGTGAATAAAACAAAAACTCAGATCCAGATAATGTCATCTCTCTCTATTCTAAGAAAGAAAATGAAAGCATCAGTTGTACTATTGCTGACAGTTTCAGAGCTATAGCTGTGGTTGTATCTCTTTCCTTTACATGCTCCTTACACAGTCATGACTATTCACCCACAGTTTGGTGCTCATATTACCCTGCATAGGTTCTAGTTTTTTGTCAGAGAAACTTGTGTAATACACAGATGAAACGACTCCATATCATAATACAAAACTTGAAAGTGTTATGTATTCAAGCAAGAACAAGCAACTCACAAATCTGAGAGTGTTTCTCAGAGGAAATCTCTCTTGTAAAAGACAAGTGAGATGTGGATCCATAGGACCATTTTGGGCAGGGGCGAAGCCAGCAAGATTTTTTAGTGGGTGCACATCTAATATAATTAAAATAAATGTCCAAAAGGGATCGAATTTGAGACATCAATGGGTGCACAAGAGCATTTTAACCATTTTTTCAAGCTAATTTTCTTGTAAACTTATATACTAAATGCAAAATATCAAGAAAATTATGGGTGGATGTGCCCCCTTAGTGTACCAAGTGGTTTCGCCCCTGATTTTGGGTCGCATCGATTATGAATCAAGTTTAGACGGTAAGAATCAAGTTTAATATTATACTAGAACATGTGGGTGCTTGATTTAACTTGTGTTCAACCTAAACTTATAATTGATTTTATAAAAAAATTATATATTTTTATGTTTTGTAATTTAGAATATATTATTATTTTATAATATAAATGTTTAATAATAGTTTATTTAGTTTGAACATAATATTATATTGGAAATTTTATAACTTGATGTAGTTTGATGTTTTTGTACTATTCATTTATTAATATGTTGTTTTTGTTAATTTATTTTAAAATAAAACAACATACTAAAAACTAACTTTTTACATTAGTTTTCTATGAATTATCATTAATTTTATGATATTTTTTTTTTTGAAAATTGGACTGTCGAAATCTTTTATTTTACTAAATTAAATAAGATAATACTATATTTAAAAATTATTTTATATAATATATACTATATATTTCAGTTTGTGTTTTTATTTTCGTCACAAAGAAAAAATAACTATTGTAATTAATCAATTTAAATTAACTTTAAATGCAATGAAAAATCTGTAAATAAAAAGAAATACAAAAAGAAAGTATTTCATTCATTGTAAATGCAATGGCTAAATGTGCAAATAAAATGAAGTATTTAATCTGATATCCATGTTTACAAACAATTCTCATCCTGCTATCCTTATTTCATAACAATATCAAAAGATAATTTAGTTTTAATAATATAAATTAGATTGAATGTAATTTAAAATCAATAAACAATTAATGGATTAGCTGTATATTCTTTATGAAAAAAAAAAATCTGATGTGAAATATTGTCCGGACAACAAGGTTTGTTTCTAAAAATCAAAATCAACTTTCACGAAAAGTATCAAAATTTGGTTCTTAAAGTATTGAAGACATTACCATCTTAATTTAAAGGGTTTTATGCAATTCCACCCATTATATGGTGTTTTAAAGCAATAGAACATTATTATGATTTATAATCATGATGAGATTTCCATAGATTAATAGTATTAATTAATATCTTAATAGAATATCGTTTTTTTATTCAATTTTAATACTTAACAATAATGGTGCCAATAAAAATGACAAATGTAAAGATGATTTCCTAGTTTTCTAAAAAGTTCTTTCTTAAAGATAACAAGTGTAGAGCTGATTTCTACAGTTTCTCAACTTTTTCTTTCTTTCTGATACGTTACTTTTTTGCATGCGAGATTTTCGTAAGGGATCATTAATGGGCATTAATTATGGTGCTCTTATATACAGATCCATGGATGGTCTACTCTCTCTATTCAAGAGAAAAAAAAAATGGAAGCATCAGCTGTGTTGGCAACAGTTTCAGTAGCTACAGCTGTGGCTGTATTGTGGTGGATATGGAGAACTCTAATGTGGGTTTGGTTTAAACCAAAGATGATTGAGAGTTACCTGAGAAGACAGGGTCTTCCCGGAACTTCTTACACGCTACTCGTAGGAGATGTGAAAAGGGATTATAGCATGTTAAAAGAGGCAAAGTCCAAACCCATCAAACTAACTGATGATATCCTCCCACGTGTCGTGCCTTTCCCCTTTCACATGCTCAAGACTCACGGTAATGTTTCTTGATTCCTATCTGTTGAGAACAAGAAAACGTTGATCTACACAAAAGGTTTCAATATTTGTATCTCTATGTGGTTGGAACAGGAAGCACGTCTTTCTTTACATGGCGTGGAGCTATACCAACCATCACCCTTATGGACCCTGAGCATATCAAGGAAGTGTGCAACAAAGTTTTTGAGTTCCAGAAGCCGAATACATTCCCCTTGGCCAAACTGATAGCCACTGGAATCTTTATCCACGATGGTGATAAATGGGCTAAACACCGAAGAATCATCAACCCTGCTTTCCACGTTGAGAAGATCAAGGTTTGGCTATCATTTTTTTCGTCGCTTTATACGTATGCATGTTGAGATAGAAATGATCTATTTTTGTGCCTTGTGTTTCTCTGTATAGAATAAGGTACCTGCGTTCTATCAGAGCTGCATCGAAGTTGTTAGCAAGTGGGATAATATAGTCTCGGACAAAGGGTTGTCTGGTGAGGTGGATGTTTGGCCTTGGCTTATGAGTATGACTGCAGAAATTATCTCTCGTACAGCTTTTGGCAGCAGCTATAAAGAAGGACAAAGGATATTTGATCTCCAAGTGGAATTAACACAGCTCATCATAGATGCCTCGAAAAAAAATTGCATCCCTGGATATAGGTAATAAGATCCCAGTTGGTCATAAAAATGTATTATTGCGTTGTTGTGCTTAATATGAGAATACAAAACATGCATATCTATAGTAACATTATCACAGTGATAACACTAAATAATCGGGTGTTTTTCTGGCATGTGCGTACTTAATAGTTATACAAACATTTTAGAATAAATACATTATCTACTCAAAAACAATTAAAATAAATTACTGTCTATACATTAAATACATATATGATAAAAAATTAAACAATAAACTCTTTATATATAAAATTTTTATCATAACATAAATATTTTTATTAAATAACATAAACTTAAAAACATTCATGAATTTAAAATATTTAGTAATAAATTAAATATTATTTTTTTGCATATGATAAAGCTTTTCAATAAACCGAGGCTTATGGCCTACTGGTGATTAGCTTGACGGTAAAACTCAATATAGTGAAATCACCTGGGTTTGAATTCCAGCCATTAGAGAATTAAAATTTTGGCATATGATCGACATGTGGACCGAAAACGTAGGTTGATAACACGTGGCTAATCTTTACATACTTCAATTGGAGGTTAGGATATTCTTGTATAATTAAAAAAAAAAGTTTTCAATACAATACAATTAGTTTTTATTGCACCGGTAAACTTGAAGCACTAATATAGACAAAATTATACAAAAAAATAATAATAATATATATAGGGATTTAACAAAATATAACTATTATTTAATGCTAATAAAGACTATATAGCATAATATAAATTATTTTTGGATAACAAAAATTATCAAATCAATGAAATTCGTTTTAAAATTTATGGTTAATTAATATAAACTAATTTTAGATAATGATAATTATCCAATTAATGAACTTGGTTTTTAATTTATGGTTAATTATATATATTAATATCTAAATATTCATTAAGAATAATAAATATTTTACTCGGTCTGTTATTTTAATGTGAGAGTTCGGAGGTGAAAAATCATTTTTTAAATATAATAAATAGTATAGATAGATTTTGTAAACACATAAAGTATAATAATAATTAAGATCTACTTGCTCTTTTAAATCTTTAAAAAAAAAAAAATCAACGATTTTTAAATTTTGGTATGCAAGATACACATCTTGACTTCTTATATATCGTTAACATGAATTTTGTTATTTCAACCACTGATGTCTACTAGAAAGCATGAAACATGTTGTTCTTTGTTCTTTTGTTTACGCAGATACTATCCAACGAAGGGTAATAGACGAATTAAGGCGGCAGCTAAAGAAAGCGAAGTTATACTGAGAGGGATCATTAACAAAAGGTTAAGGGCTAGAGAAGCTGGGGAAGCACCAAGCGAAGATTTGCTTGGTACACTTCTTGAATCGAATTTAGGGCAAGCTAAAGGAGATGGAATGAGCATTGAGGATGTGATGGAGGAGTGCAAGTTTTTCTACTTTGCCGGACAAGAGTCCACTGCAGTACTTCTAGTTTGGACAATGATTCTGCTAAGCCAACACCAAGGCTGGCAGGCTCGTGCTAGAGAAGAAGTCAAGCAAGTTTTTGGTGATAAAGAACCTGATACAGAAGGTCTTAACCAGCTTAAAGTTGTAAGTAAAACAAACTCAAAATACTTTGTAATAAAAAAAAAGATTTTGTTGTCTTATGATTATTTCTGATGAATGTTTCCAACAGATGACGATGGTAATATATGAGGTCCTTAGGCTATATCCTCCAGTAGCCTATATGTACCGAGCCATTTACAAAGAGATGAAGCTAGGCGACCTGACACTACCAGCTGGCGTTGAGATCAATATACCTATTTTGCTACTACAACGCGATACTCACCTATGGGGTGAGGATGCAGCTGAGTTTAAGCCTGATAGATTCAAAGATGGTATCTCAAAGGCAACGAAGGGCCAAGTCTCATTCATTCCCTTTTCTTGGGGACCAAGGATATGTGTAGGTCAGAGTTTTGCTCTGATGGAGGCAAAGATGGCAATGGCATTGATTCTGCAGAGATTCTCCTTTGAGCTTTCTCCTTCCTATGTCCATGCTCCCTACAAAGTCTTCACCATTCGCCCACAGTTCGGTGCTCATCTTATTCTTCACAAGATATAGATCCATAACCCATGTGTGATGTTCTCAAATGAGCTTATTATATGTAATATATATANGCTCTGATGGAGGCAAAGATGGCAATGGCATTGATTCTGCAGAGATTCTCCTTTGAGCTTTCTCCTTCCTATGTCCATGCTCCCTACAAAGTCTTCACCATTCGCCCACAGTTCGGTGCTCATCTTATTCTTCACAAGATATAGATCCATAACCCATGTGTGATGTTCTCAAATGAGCTTATTATATGTAATATATATATAAGATAAAATAAAATAAGTCAAGATCCTCATGTTATAAAAACATGCTTTAATCAATAATGCTTCTCTGGTTTTGTAACCCGTATGAAACTGTGTATAACATTATCAAATTTCTTTTCCAAGAAAAAATATTATCAAAGCTTATGTCGCCTCGAATGTAAAATTTTGTCCAGACAACAAAATTTGGCTGTAAAAATCAAAATCAACTTTCAAGAAAAGTATCACAATTTGCTTCTTAAGACATAATTATTGCAAGGTTCTTAAACTTGGGTCCTTAATACACATATATGTATATGTATATATTGTATAAACGTATATAATTACAGGTTAAGGATTTTACAGAAACCAAAGCTAAAAATTTCTTAATTATGATTTAAAGGGTTTTATGCAATTTCACCCATTGTATGGTATTAGATTTGTTTTAAAGCAATAAAACATAATATTTTCATGAGATTTCCATAGATTATTAATATTATTACACTAATATTTTATACAATATCGTTTTATGATTCAGTTTTAATATTTAAAAATAATGCTGGCAATAAAAATGACACATGTAAAGGTGATTTGTTAAATAATAACAAGTGTCGAGCTGATGTCTACAGTTTCTCAACTTTTCCTTACTTTCTCGTACGTTACTTTTTTTCATGCGAGATTTTCGTGAGAGATCAATTAATGATGGTGCTCTTATATACAGATCCAAAGAATGCCATCTCTCTCTCTCTATTCTGAGAAAGAAAATGGAAGCATCAGCTGTTTTGGCACCAGTTTCAGTAGCTATAGCTATAGCTGTATTGTGGTGGATATGGAGAACTCTAGAGTGGGTTTGGTTTAAACCAAAGATGATTGAGAGTTGCCTGAGAAGGCAGGGTCTTCCCGGAACTTCTTACACGCCACTCGTAGGAGATGTGAAAAGGGAAGTTAGCATGTTAATGGAGGCAAGGTCCAAACCCTTAAAACTAACGGATGATATCGTCCCACGTGTCTTGCCTCTCCCCTTTCACATGCTCAAGACTCATGGTATGTTTCTTGATTCCTATCTGTTGAGAACAAGAAAACGTTGATCTACACAAAAGGTTTCAATATTTGTATCTCTATTGAACAGGAAGCAAGTCTTTCTTTACATGGCGTGGACCTATACCAACTATCACCCTAATGGATCCTGAGCATATCAAGGAAGTGTGCAACAAAATTTATGAGTTCCAGAAACCGAATACGTTCCCCTTGGCAAAACTGGTATCCACTGGAATCTTTAGTCACGATGGTGATAAATGGGCAAAACACCGAAGAATCATTAACCCTGCTTTCCACCTTGAGAAGATCAAGGTTTGGCTTTCATTTTTTATTTTTTCCATCACATTAAGTAGTGTGCTTTAATACGTATGCATGTTGAGAGAGATATGATCTAGTTTTGTGCCTTGTGTTTCTCTGTATAGAATATGGTACCTGCGTTCCACCAGAGCTGCATCGAGGTTATTGGCAAGTGGGACAATATAGTCTCGGACAAAGGGTTGTCTGGTGAGGTTGACGTGTGGCCTTGGCTTATGAGTTTGACTGCAGATGTGATCTCTCGTACAGCTTTTGGCAGCAGTTATGAAGAAGGACATAGGATATTTACGATCCAATTGGAATTAACACAGCTCCTCATACATGCTTCTCGCAAAAGTTGCTTCCCTGGATATAGGTAATAAAATCGTAATAAAAAAGTATTATGGTGTTTAATATGAGAATACATAACACATACATATACTAGTAACATTAACAGAATGATAACACCAAATAATGTGAATTTTCATAAACATATATATATTTTTTCAATATATCTTCATAAACATATAAAGCATAATAATTTTGAGATCTACATGCTCTTTTAAATTTTCTTTTTTTAAGGTTTTCATGGATTTTACAATCTTGGTAGCAGGATTGACATCTTGATCTTGATGTCTTATATATATTTAATATGAATTTTGTTATTTTAACCAATGATATCTGTTAGAACGAATGAATCATGTTGTGCTTTGTTTTTTTGTTTACACAGATACTATCCAACGAAGGTTAATAGAAGGATTAAGGCGGCAGCTAGAGAAAGCGAAGATACACTGAGAGGGATCATTAACAAAAGGTTAAGGGCTAGATTAGCTGGGGAAGCACCAAGCCAGGATTTGCTTGGTACACTTCTTGAAGCCAATTTAGGGCAAGCTAACGGAGATGGAATGAGCATTGAGGATGTGATGGAGGAGTGCAAGTTTTTCTACTTCGCCGGGCAAGAGTCAACTTCAGTACTTCTAGTTTGGACAATGATTATGCTAAGCCAACACCAAGACTGGCAGGCTCGTGCAAGACAAGAAATTAATCAAGTTTTTGGTGATAAAGAACCTGATACAAAAGGTCTTAACCAGCTTAAAGTTGTAAGTACAATAAAATCAAAATACTTATGTTATAAAAATAAACTTTTTGTGTTAATGATGATTTTGATGAATGTTTACAACAGATGACGATGATATTATATGAGGTCCTTAGGCTATATCCTCCGGTAATCTATATGGCCCGAGCCATTTACAAAGAGATGAAGCTAGGCGACCTGACGCTACCAGATGGTGTTCAGATCAATCTACCAATCATGCTACTACAACGCGATACTAACCTATGGGGTGAGGATGCAGCTGAGTTTAAGCCTGATAGATTCAAAGATGGTGTCGCAAAGGCAACGAAGAGCCAAATCTCCTATATTCCATTTTCTTGGGGACCAAGGATATGCTTAGGTCAGAATTTTGCAATGATGGAGGCAAAGATGGCAATGGCATTGATACTGCAGAGATTCTCCTTCGAGCTTTCTCCTTCCTATGTCCATGCTCCTTACAAAGTCTTCACCCTTCACCCACAGTTTGGTGCTCATCTTATCCTGCACAAGCTTTAGGTCTATAACCCACGCATGTGTGATGTTTTGTAATGGGTTTTATCATATATAAGAGAAATAAAATTAGTTAAAATCCTCATATTATAACATCATGCTTTTTAAATCAAGAATGCTTCTCTGGTTTTGTAATCCGTATAAAACTGTTTATAACTTATCAAAGTTTATATCACTTCTGAACAAATTTTTAAATCATCATGAATTTAATCGTATTCGACCTTATAGCAACCTCCGAGTTTCCTTGTGGGTTACGGCAGAAATTTAATCGTATTTGTCTCTATTCTCAGTGGAACTTTGATATTAAATCTCTCGGTGGATTCTCTGTTTCAAATAAAGGAATATGCCTTTTGGACAAGTACACGACATACACAATTGTTGATGTGCCCTAAACCACATGCAACTTCTACTGCCACTTTCACAGGACCACTATGGTATGCATTATATTTTGATTTTTATTGACATGATGCAGCATCCTCTATTGTCTTCTTTTATCAACTTTATACATTTGCATTATTGTTCTGTATAATAATATATATATTAGACTGAAACTCAGGAAAAAAATATTATATCAAACTTATGGTCCTCTGTTTTTCTGGTCTAAAATATTTGAAAAAGATGTTTTGGTGTTATGCGTTACAAGATATTTTCTTTTATTTGATGTAACAGGCGCAGAAACTTATTACTCCATAATAATGTTGATAAGGATTTGTTTTTAATATTGAGCTATGAATTAGGTTCGTTGATTCTTTCTGAAGGCTACAAAACAAAACAAGAAAAATAATCTGCATGGCCGAGATACTTCGACTCTTGCAGTTACCAGTTTTGAATAAAAAAATAAAATGAATATGTTTTTTATAAAACAAGAGTTCTGTTTCTCATGTGGTATACTTTGTCCCTTGTGCTGTTTTTGGTAGTTTTAAAGCAGCAATTGGATGAAAGTAAGTATACAAAAACTACTCGATTCTAGTCATTTTTCTGCGAAAATATTACACCCAGAGTCACTTTTGAGTTTTTTATTTCACTCAGAGACACTTAATGCTCCTAAGACACTTTCCTTAACAGCCGACTTTTTCTCTGGTTATTTATCAATATTTAACCCCCTTCTAGTTACAATCTTAACTTGTTCACGAGAGTTGTATCGTTAGTTTAAGCGGGAGACACTTCCCCACCACACATTTAGATTCCATTTGTATTTTAACTTTTTGACAAGACATATAACTTTCCTCAATTATAGCCACACGATCTTCTAAGTTTTTGTACCCATCTACGGTCCACATTATTTCCATACAATCTTATCACATTTGACTTATTTTTTTCAGCAAAACAAATAGTCGGTGAAATCATCTCTCTCCGATTACCGCTGCTAAAAGAAGAGGTTAGTGTTAAACATTAATCTATCCACCACGACTTTTCTTTAACCTAATTATCAAGTTATTGAAGTAAAAACACAAAAAATGAAATTGCACAACTAAAATCAGTGGCGGCTCTAAAATTTAGTTACAGAAAGACATGATACCATAATAGGAAGAAGATGATTTAATTACAAAATTGTCACTCATTAAAAAAATGAAATTGCGTACAATTATATGTGTACATGTGTACATCTTCACAAGTGTACACTCTGTATTATTAAAACAATGTACACTCTTCACATGTGTACACTATTTATTATTAAAAAAAAAAAAATTACATATGTACAATTATATATGTGCATGTGTACTTCTTCACATGTGTACACTCTTTATTAGTAAAGTAATGTATCATATATATAAAAAAATTGATAAGAAAACAAATTTCATGAAAGTAATGAATCATTGTACATATGGATACTAAATTTTGTATACTTAATTTCATGTATGATTTTGATGAAATTTTTTATAGTGTGTACATATGAATCATTTGCCAAAATTGACAAGAGTACATATGAATAATAAATTATGTATACATAATGTCATGTACATATGACTATATACATAAATAACAACAATAATCGTTGTACATGTGGATAATAAAATGTGTGTACATAATTTCATGTACATATGACTTTTTTTGTTTATTTTTATTTTTTTAATAAGGGGCATTTTAGTAAATTTGGTTTCGTCTTCCCCAAATTTTTAGGGTTTTCTGCAACGTTTTTTGGCGGCCGCCATTGATTTCTTTCTCTTAATCTTCCATTCTATTAGATTTTAATTGTTGGTTACACTTCAAGATCATAATTTTATCATTTATAAATAGATTTTCAACTTCATATTTAAAAAGATAATGAGTTTTCTTTGAGATTTAGCCATTGTTATTTGAGCTTTATGGTGCAACTGAAAAACGGCCACCAAGGTAAGATTTGGAGCATGATAATAGCCACAAGCTATTGTCACATCATAATGGAAATGAATTGAAGAGTATGATATATTGATTTACAGCAAAAGAGAAGAGTATAATATATTGATTTACAGCAAAAGAGAAGACGACCTGTGACGATTTTGCGATCGAGATCGACTGAGGTTCACCGGCGGTCACATAGGAGGACCAAGAAACACGAAAAAGATGAGCTGAGGACCAAGAATCTCCATCTAAAATCCACCAATGAAAAACAGGATAAATAAATGATTTATATTTTCTATAAATAAAATTCATTAAATTCAAAATTCAAAAAGTAACTAGAAGTCCAACCAATTGTTAGTTTGCTCGGTCCAAAAACTCACCATTTTTGCAATCCACCGACAAAAAGTGCCCAAGTAGCAACAAGTGCCTTACAGTGTAATAAAAAACACGAAAGTGTCTCCAGTGAAAATAACTCTTTTTCTGCTCAACTTGTTGATAATGCCAGTATTACTAATATGCCGATTTTGTTTTGTAATTAACGTTTTCTAATCAAAGGAGTAGCAAAAAAGAACTAGAAAAATGAAATATATTACGGTTTACCTCAAAAATGAATAAGCGACACGAGCTAGTTTTCACAATCCGTACTAAAAAGAACTTCAATATAATAAGGTTTATGCAGGTCGCCTAAAAGTTAGGATTGACTTATGTGTCATGTTGAAAGCTAAGCCTAAAAATCTCAAAATTTTCGACAAGCTTGATATTATATCAACTTGTAAATGTTATTAAAGCAATTATCAAATGAATGGAACATTTCTTGGTTACAGAGCTGTACCAGTCTTATTTATTTCTGCTGTGATCTTGAGATACCAACTTTACACGTTTTCTAATACTGTACAATTAAAAATAGATTATTGACTTGATATATGCTTTTAATTAAAGAAATAGTTCACCACAACGATGAAAGTGTGATGGAAAATGATAGATCAACTTTAGCTTGAAATGTTTAAATATTGTCACTTGACACCTTGCCCTACATTGATTATATTAAATGATACTATTTATGTGGCTTAAGATTTGAGATTCTCTTAGATCCGTGATATGTATGTCTTTTTCATGCTTTAGCTAATGGACCGACTTTTCATCTCACCCATATGTTAAATTCCCAAAAAAATATATTATCTCAAGTACAACTCTATATATAAACAGATAATTCAAGTTGTAAAAAGAAATGAATTACTCAAAAAGAAATTTAAGAACGAGCGTTAATTTGTATAATTGACATTTATTTTCCACAAGTATCATAATGTTTTTACCAAAAAAGTATCATAATGTTTTATATAATCATTTCTCTTGAGACTGAGTCAAATAAACCAATGAGAGACATGCAATCTTTTTTTTTTTTGAAGGCTTGAGACATGCAATCTTATTTGTTGGTGATCTTAACGTTGTAGCGGCAACAACAGCAATCCTATAGTTGTTCGACAACTGAGTCTTCTCAATATTTTTATAATCGTAATAATACTATAGTAGTAATATTATTATTAAGAAACTAAAAGTAATCGTAATTACAGCTTCTAGAAAATCTAAAAAGTTTATGTACTTCTTTAAACTGCGACATGTGTATAAACTTCAACGAGAGTTAGGTGAATTTTACGGCTCCATTTATAAACTTTGTAGGATTTTAATAAGCTTTAATCATATTTATTGACTGAAACATCAATGACAAAGATCAAGTGACCAAACTTGACTTACCTTGATATCTACCCACCCCTTTCTGCTCAAACTAGAAAATTACCAAGAAAAAAAAAAACTATTTAGGGGGTAAATAAACCATAGGATAAAAATTAGTGACTAAATTTTGATATATGAATAGTTAGAGGGGTTACAATTTAAATAGTAAAAAGGTGCCGTCCAACGGTAGTTGCCTCACAACGGGTCTATCTCAAAAAGAACACCGACAGTGGACCTAACGGTAACTTAAAACAATCCTCAGAGTTGTGAAAAAACTACGAGAATGCCATTGCCTCGTGACCTGTCTCTCGTACGCAAATAAGTACCACGAAAATTGCTAAAATTAGAATATACAAAACAAACAAACAAACAAACATTTTGTGATCTACAGATCTCCTCTCCATCTTTCTTTCTTTCTCTCCTATCACTGGATCTTGAAGAGATCTACATCTCTCCCCCAAAGAAGAAGAAGAAGAGCCCTTTTCTCTCTGTGAAGTGCATTTGCTAGAATCTAGGGTTTTTCTGATTCCAAGAATCGTCTTTTTTCTCATTGGTCACTCTGTTTTTTTTTGTTTTTTTCGATCTCTTCTAAGATCAATTCATATTGAAAAAGGGTTTCTTTTTTCTTTTTATCTCTTTTGGATTTTAGATTTTTGAATCTGAGGAAGACGATAGGGTTGTTGAGCGGTTTAGTTACTAAGAAAACTACTCTGCTTTTATCATTCTTCTTACCTCCTCTGTTTCTTTAAACTCTCTGTAAAGACTCCACCTTTACATCTTTTCTTTTTTTGAAGAGGATGCAGCAAGTTCAGGCGAAGAAGGTTAGTTTCTCATTTACATCAAAAAAGGGTATCTTAAAGTTAATTTCTTTCGTTAAAAATCTAATTACTTTCGTTCTGTTTCTTTACCTTTTTGCGAAAAAACAGAGCATGAAAGAGATAGACTTTTTCACA